AATAATAATAATAATAATAATAATAATAATAATAATAATAATAATAATAATAATAATAATAATAATAATATCATCATTAATCATAACAACAATAATAATAATCACCAGCATTCCAACAATCCTGAGGAGCATATTCCTTCCCCATTACAATATTTACTTGAAGCAATTGAAATAAAGAAACAAAAAGAAATCAATTACCAAAAAATAAATGAGAAATTCGAGATAATTTCTTTTAACGATTATGTAAATGATGATGACAGTGAAAATAATGGTGATTATTATGAGGACGATATAAAAGTTAAAATTGAAGGTCATAAAGATAATAATATTCCTAAACTTGAAGAAATTTCGCATGTGATTGTTCATAATGATGAATCCTTAAACATGAACGATATAAAAGAAAAACATCTTGGTTTGTTAATAATTTATTCGCTTAATATGTTGTTATGAGTTTTTGACTTTTATGTTCAATAATAGTAATAATTATATACTGATTTGAATGTTAAAGGTCATTTACTTTATAATCCCAAGGAAATTATTCCACCGTTGGAATTCAATGAAAATGGTTTATTGGAAATTTGGATACAGGCTGAACATTTGACATGGGATAATAATAAAGTTAAAGGTTATTTTGTATGGGGAACAGATATTTATTGTGATGATTCAGATATTGTTGCAGGTAATTAGATAAAAAATCATTCCCTGTTTAAAAAATTAATGACGATTTTGATGAAATTAATAAAAAAAATTATTTATTTGTGAAATTAACAATGTATTAAAGCTCTTATACACGCTGGATTTTTTATTCCTCCTGAATATAATAACTCAAAAATACTACAAAAGCAACCTAATTATGATCTTCATGTTACGATTCGCGCGTACCCAAAACTGGTCAATTATAAGGGCACCGAAAGAAACAATTACAAAAGTAGGTCTTGGGGAAATCATGATGGAGTTAGTTACAGAATTGAAAATGTAGAAAAAATACAGGTAACAAAAAAAAACTTTAAGGATCAATTTTCCCATATATATATTAATAAAATATACATTTTTAAATTTAGATTGGTGAAGCAATTTTTAGATCAAAAGGTAGTAAAGGGATAAAAGAAAGAAAGAAAAATTATCTTGATATGAGAAAAAAGGCTTTTGATGTGTCAAATAATCAAAATGCCATTTTAATTATTTTTAATAACGAACATGATCCTTGGTAAATTAATTATAATTTATTTCTTTAAAAATTTTCATATAATAATAATAACCCTCCTAAAAAATTAATCATTAGCTATAAATATTCACCCGAGTTGATGTCGGACAGTGAATATATAATTAATAGATTATATTCTGAAGTTTTATACTTGGAAAATGATGAAGAAAGGTAATTTATATTTTATATGTATAATGTTCTATATAATATATAGAATTATAATTTTATTCGCCTTATCACCTTTCTTTCTTCATCACTGCAATTAGATATGAAGTATCGTATAATGAGGAACAAGGCAAATATAGATATTCAATAGTATCACCATCTGTTTATTTAGGAGACAGAAATAATGGTAATTTAAGGTATCCATTAAGTTGTGATAAGTTAGATGAAATAGTTCGTGATGATTTAGATTTTCATGAACTTTCATGGAATATTATTGGTGTCGTTGTAGCCAATAAACAAAATCAACAAAATAGCTTATTATGCATCATTAAAAGAATGTTTTGGTACCCTAAAAGACAAGGTTAAATTATTAGATATATATAATATTAAACACGATATATTCTAGATTTTATTTTTATAGATCATGTTTTTTAGTTATTACTATAAATGAGTGCACATCGCGTATATACATTGCATGTATACGTTGCAGATCATCTTGAACTTCACAATGTGTGCAATAAAAGATTTTGTGAGTGTTTTTTTTTAAAATTTTTATTAACATAAATAACATAAATAAAGCCATAAAAATTTTTTTTGAAAAAAAATGTCAAAAAATGACTCAGCTCAAGAAACATGTGAATATGAAAGTGATGATTCTTCAAGTTCAGAAAAATTATATATAGATCTAATACCAGATGAAGATATTAAGGAATATGATCTAACGAATGATTCTGATCAACCAGAAAATATAGATGCTGAAAATCAAATACAAACTTCATTTATTCATCTTCCGTCAGAAATAATTTTACGAATCATTTATGAACTTATATTGCTAGAGAAACCGGATCTTCCTAAAACCGCTGTAATTTCTTTACCATTAACTTGTAGAACTTTGTGTAGGTTTTCAAAAGATCATATTTTATGGGAACATGTATTCTGTAAAGAGTATGATATCTTGGCAAGAAAACGTCGCTTTAAAATTTGTAATTTTAGAAAAATTTATTATAGAAGATCACGGACAAATATTGATATGATGAACTCAAGTCTTCTACAATTAGAAGGATGCAATATTGGACAAACATCACCATCAGAGTCAATTATAGGAAATGTATTAGATGTACTAACTAGTTTATGGATTCTAGTCTCTGAGAATGGTAATTGATAAAACGCAAAAAATCTTTTCAATTTTAATTATTTTTAATAATACTTATTTAAAATAGATGGCAAAAACACCAAAAAGCTATCAGATTTCAAAGCATCTGAATTTTGCTTCCGGGTATTTCTTTCATTATACAATAGGATGGATACATCCTTAAAGCACCTGGCTTGTGTTTTTATATCATTAAAAATTATTTCAATACTTTTGGCATATGGATTTGGTTTGTGATGATGATGATAATTATCTTTAAATGATTTTTTATTATAAAGAAATTTACTTATACATTTAAGCTCAATAGATCCTAAATTGCATGAAACAATTGTTGAGCAAATGTCATTAATATTAAGAGAACGAGTTATAAATTGGAATCCTAACGATGATTCAATATTACCTATGCTCGAATGTCACGCACTTCACATTTACTTCTCATATTGTGCTAGAGATGATTGTAAAAAGCCAATGTTACCCTCATCCTTTGCGTTTGATTCTCGTAAAGCTGATAAATGGTTGCAATGGACAGATATGGTTGATGTGAGTTTGATTAGCCATCAAATATCATTTATTATTGTTGTTATGATTGTTATTGGATTATGACTTTCTAATTACAAATTATTATTTTTAAGATATATGGTTCAAATAAAATTTTATTTTGTCTTCGGAATGATGCATATGATTGGCCAAATGGACCACCTAGTTTATGGACAGGATTATGTACAAATGAAACAATTTCGGCTGTTGAAAAATTGATCGTTTTAGATCTAGTATTTTATAAAAATAATGAAAATATAGATTTGCCTTATGATGATTTTGAAGGGATTGAAGACGTTGATAAACCATATAATGATCATACATTTAATTACATATTTAAAGGTGATCTGATGGATGATTCAGGTAAAAAAAACCAAGTTGAAGGTGAATCTTGTGTAATTGATAAGGGTAGAAGAGTTAAGTTTAAATGTGTTAGCCACTCAGAAAACGGTGATAAAAAAAGTCATTTCTGTGGATTTATGACAGCATTTGGAATCATTGGTAGGTATTGGGATGATGATGCTGCTATTGATCGTTCAGGATTTTTTTGGATTTGGGAATGGATTTAAACACAGAAATTTGGTATTGTGCTGATCTCACTGCCGTAAAAAATATAAAATCTCGCATGTTGAATTTTTCATTATATAATAAATAGCCGCTACCACCATTTTATTATTTTTATTTATTCTCGAGATCAACATCATATTTTACGAAATAAAATAAAACATGGGGCATACCAGACAAAGTGAACATTTTGATTACCAAGAATTTCAGGGATCATTAATGTTTGTTTAACATCATATTCAAAATATTCGAAAATTAAAAAATTTGAAATATTACGTGATCCATATAAATTTGAGTTATGCTCGAAATGCAATATAGTTTTCGTGTTTTGAATTACGTGATCAAAGTTGGTAATGATTTTTGTTAAACTTTTTTATTGTAAAGAAAGAGAAACAGAAAATTTATGGGAATGATTAATTTATAACATATCAAAATTCAAACTATTTTATGACTTTTTTCTTGCTGGCCATATTGCTGACAAATATGTATATAAACACGCAATGATTTTAATCTATAGAATGTGCCTACCCAAAATTATAATTGGTTAGTATTAAAGAAACAGAGAATTTAGGAAAATAATTACAAAAAACACTATTTTACAACTTTCCTCTTAACATCAGAGCCCAAATGAAATTTCAGGGCTGCCAACCCCACTATTAATTGCAATCTCCTGTGCTTGCCGTCCTTACCCTAGAGGTAGGCAACTTTTCGGCTAGCATGGCAGCAGCCTTCTCTGGTCTGGGAAGATTAGGTAGGATGTCATTGACGATTGATGCAGTCTCGCAGCTCCAACGCCATGCGCCACCCCCTGGAATCCTTTTGCATCATCATATCCATGGAACGAATCAGGTTCAGATTAGCCTTTTGCACACGAGGAATGTGTGAGAATGACTGTAAAGTGTTCAAGGTACATGCGTGCTTCAACGTCTGCCAATTTCCGATAATCAAACATTACATACTCGAATTGTTTCTTTTCAACGGTGTGCTGCATTGACATCTTGTAATAATAATAATAATAATAATAATAATATTGATTACGAAAAGCGAAATCAAAATACCATTTGTTTACCATCTTTATGAGAATCTTATAATTACCCAGCAAGATCTGCTCCGCATCTTGATTCCAATTAAAATATATATAAAATAAAAATCGCTATATTATATCAATACAAATAAAAAATAATACTTCTGTTATTAACACGTCTTCTTTAGGAGAACCACGTTTTGTCATCTTATTGTTTTCTAAAAAAAAATCAATTCGCCAAAAATCTTCGTGCAACACCAAGTGTCAATAATAATAAGCAAAATATATTCAATTATTCAATAATTATGGCGAAGCAAGTGTTAGTCAAGATCTATGAAGTTTGCAAAACGAATGTTTATCAACTATTTAATAAGTATATAAAACTTCTTTTGTTTAAAAATGTGAAATCAAACAGCAAGAAGAGAAAACAAATAACTGCTCATGCTGAAATAATTCACAAGTAAGTGTTTTAAGAATGGTGGTTGTTGCCACTCTAGTTATAATAATAATAATAATAATAATAATATAATAATAATAATAGTAATAATAATAATAATATATTATAATAATAATAATATTAATGGTAATAACAGTGACAGTTACTATGATATTGCACTTGAGCTACGCCAAAGAAATATAAAACTGAGATTGCTAAAATGGAAGCCAAAGCAATCTCATCTGTTGTATACATTGTATAATTTCAATTGTAAGTAATAATAACTTAATTAATCATACATATCTATTGTATGCAATATTGAAATCATTATCATTTCTATAATAATATTATTATCACTATAATCTCATTAGAGGAAAGCAAACATTAAGGACTTAGATTATGAAAAAATAGTTCAAACAAAAGAACTTTTATTAATAAAGTGAAGAACATATTTTAAATCACAATGATAAAATTTTAGTCAAGACTCAAGAGGGATTTATTGGTAAGTAGTATAAATCAATTAATTTACATACAGTGTGTAAAGAAATTATTGGCAAAAAAATCTGAATTCATATAACTTTACCAAAATCAGGCCAAATCAAATAATCTTTTTTTTTATTTTAAATGTCAAAAATATCTCTTGATTTTTATTATTAATATAAAGTTTTTTAAAACTACATATTGAAAATTTTTTTATTAAAATGATTAAATCCAAACCAAAAACACAACAAGAAACTATATTACGTTTTTGGAACATAGGAATTCATACTGCCAAAGAAATCCACAAAGCAACACAGATTCCAATGCAAATTATCTATAAGAACTTGAAAAAGTTGGAAGAAATTGGTAATTTGGATCACAAGAAAGGGGCTAGTTGTCCTAAAAAAATCACCCCTAATATTGCATGGTAACAGGAGAGACCGTCCTATATAAGGAATGGATTTTCACAATTGATTTCAATTTTTTTTATACAGTTTAAAATACT